ATGAATAAACTTTTACACAAACATTTAATTATTCACAAAACTGGGGGAATTTCTTAATCTTCTTCATGTTTTCACTCATTCACTTAACAAATCTGAGAATCTGTTCTTCCAGACATCTAGGAAACCCAGTGAAAAACCCAGGGTCTGCCTCTACAGACCTCAATTCTTGCCCAAAGTGTGTGCAAACTTTCAGAGACATCTGCATAGAGAGTTGGCCAGTTACTGAACTTTTGGGCTTGCTCTCTCAGTGACCAGAACAATCTTTCTGAGGCATGGGGGACATGCTACCCCACCATCGCTGCTAACTACCATCAAGTGCATGGCATCATGGCTTGTTGGGGTGACGGGCAGAAGCACAACTGGCTGAGCATGAACAGGAAGGAGATTTGTAAGTAAGAAAGAACACATGGGGCATGGGATGAGCTGATACTATACCACTATTCCCTCACTCACTGCCACCTCCACTCACAATCAATTCAACCCTGCACCAATATGCTGACATTCAGTGCAGCTTAATGTCTTAACAAGGTTAACAGAACTAAGTTCACCATGGAGGTACTGTGTTACCTTTACCTCCGTGTCCTCCCTTCCACCTTGCTGGGTGCCTGGCTCTTTCAGCAGGCCCCTGCTCTCACTACAAACCCTACTACCCATTGCTCAACATACCGACTTTGTTTTGCAGCTTGTAAGAACAACTCAAGAGTTGTTCTTTTCCATAAGCCCCCTCCCATCCCTGTATGACAATTGTTACTTGAACCTATACTGTAGGACTTTTCACTTTTCATTTCATATTGAATCTTTGAAGTGTGAGGAGACTACAGAGAAAGCTATCAGGGAGGTACAAATTTGTCCAGATTACTAAAGCAGAGACATGCCCTCCAACTACATTTATAAGGTCAAGAGATACCATGGATAAGGGAGCTAACTTTTCATTTATACCTAATAACCACTAGTGGCAACTTGATGATCCGATTCAAATTTATGACCAGCAACATTATAGCTGACATTGTCAAAGACAGAAATTTTTATTAAACCATTTGCAAAAATAAAAAGGAAAAAGCCTGCTTTAACTAGATTATAAATTCCTTGAGAAAAGGAACTTGAAGCCATTTAACTTTCTATCCTTGGAGAAGCATGTGATTAAATTTTTTATTTTTATTTTTTTATTTTTTGCTGGTCCTGAGGCTTGAACACTGGGCCTGGGCACTGTTCCTGGGCTCCTTTTACTCAAAGCTAGCACTCTACCATCTGAGCCACATCACTACTTTCTGCTTTTTTGGTGATTTAACTGGAGAGAAGAATCTCACAGACTCACAGACTTTCCTGTCTTGTCTGGCTTCAAACTGTAATCTTCAAATCTTCACCTTCTGTGTAGCTAGAATTATAAGCCTGAGCCACTAGCTCCTGCTTTAATTTTTTAAAAATAAGTTTAGATTAGAAGCATTGGATTTACTTAAAAATTAAAAACTGGGAAGTAGTGCTGTAGCTCAAGTGGTAGCGTGCTCGCCTTGAGCTGAAGAGCTGAGGGACAGCGCCCAGGCCCAGAGTTCAAGCCCCACGACCAACCGAAAAGAAATAAAAATAAAAAAATAAAAACTGTTTTGTTGGTAAGATCTTGATATGTTGCTCAGGCCTTGAACTTCGGCCCTTAAGTCATCTTCCTATCTAAGCCCTGTGAGTAGCTGAAATTACAAATGACACCACCACATCTGGCTGTGTTTACCACACAGTTAATGATTCAATGGTAACTTGGAGGGAAATCTCTCATGAGGCAATTCCATAGGGAAGGTGCTATAAATGAAGAACTGACAGGAGGAGACAGGAGGCTTTTTTCCAAGAGGTCTCCTTGTTTAAGAAGTGTTGATAGAGGAGTTGGCCTGCTCCAGGAGCGTGGACTCATGGGGCATGCACCACCCTGTGGTACTGGAGTAACTGAACCCCAAAAACTCAAACTCTAGGCAAACTGGACAGGTGAGATTAATAACACCCTGCTTTAACTACTTCCTTGACTACTACCTGATATGAACAATGTTGGAAAAAACAACAAGTTATCTTAGCATAGAAAACTAAACCATATGTAGAACCCAATGTTTTTACTAACTAATTCATCCAAACATTCACTAAGGGCTACTCTAATAGTAAACATACAGTGGAAATTCATAAATTATTTGATCACAATGAAATGTGGCACCAGTTTCATTTAAGTCAATGATGTCAAAGGAAAGGTCTTGCTAGTAGCCAGCATGTGTGCTGGGCCAACCTGTACAAAAGTTCCCACTTCCTGATTTGGACCTAGAACAAGTGCCACGCAATAGCAGCTTTCATGATCTCCTTTCCTTATACCCCCTTCACTATCACTCCAACCCAACCCCTAAGCCAAAACAATCATGTTTTAAAAAAATTGTGTTTTTTCAAGTATTTCTATAACAGATAAAGAATTTCTGAAGGGATTCTTAAATATATTCCTAGGGAAAAATCAGTTTTAGCACTTCTGTTTGTTTAATATGGTATTTACCTTTGAATTTCTACAATAATTCCATATCATTTTATTGTTTCACCCATTTTGGATTACTATGGACTATTGACTCCTAATTTTTAACTTATAATAAATTGTATGTTTATAGTATGTACTTATCTATTATCATAGCTCATATGTAATTATATGACTGCTTTCATAATAAATTTCCCTCTTTAGTCATTAAAAAAATTTCTGAAGGAAGATTTTCATAAAATGCTAATCACTTCATACCTACTTTATTCAGCTATGAAATCATTTATCTCAACAGTATTTGCTGACACTTTTCACCCCAAAACAGCCAAGGAAAAAGGATTCTGATTGGTTTGTAGTATTTGTGAATTTAGATGATCTTTGTTTTTAGAAATCTATCTCTTGTTGATAACTTCTTTCCAAAGGACCACTCCTCCTCCCCCGACCTGCCCATTTGATTACTTATTTTCAGATGATCTCTTCTATTCTATGCATAATAGGGCAAAAACCTCTGTACCTATTATCTTTTACTTGAGTTCTAAAGACAGTTTTGATTTCACACTCTACTATCAAGGTGTTCCCTTTAGTTAATCTTACTGGCTTTGCTCTTTGCTTTCCAAACTAAACAATTTCCTGCTTGCAGAGCAGGCCCAAACCATTCCAGATAATTTATGAAGAAGAAATATTTCCCTTAATGAGTACTATCTATTTTCTACGGAATACTAATGGGACCACATTTGTATGATTTCAAAATATTTTCTTCTGCTGACATTCAGCCTAACATAATATCCTATTCTTTTTTTTCTTTTTTTTTTGCCTGTCCTGGGGCTTGAACTCTGGACCTGGGTGCTATCTCTGAGCTTCCTTTGCTCAAGACAAATGCTCTACCACTTGAGCTATAGCACCACTTTTGTCTTTCTTGAGTAGTTTATTGGAGATAAGAATCTCATGGAGTTTCTTGCCCAGGCTGGCTTTGAACACAATCTTTGGATCTCATCCTCCTGAGTAGCTAGGATTATAGGTGTGATCCACTGGCGCCCAAATTAACGTTCTATTCTTGAGCAAGGAAAAATCCTTCCTTAAAGAATTGGCTCATGCTGGGTGCTGGTGGCTCATGCCTGTAATCCTAGTTACTCAGGAGGCTGAGATCTGAGGATTGCAGTTCAAAGCCAGCCCAGACAGGAAAGACCATGAGACTCTTATGTCCAATTAACCACCAGAAAACCGGAAGTGGCACTGTGGCTCAAGTGGTAGAGCGCTAGCCTTGAGCTGAAGAGCTCAGGGACAGTGCCCAAGCCAGAGTTGAAGCCCCATCACAGAAAAAAAAAAAAGGAAGAATTGGACTCATAATTATCATAATTACCACATAATGTTTGCTATTTTCAAATTTAAGTGCATTAAATACTTGGTGCCAGATTAGTACTCCTAATCCTTTTCCCAAAGATTTCCTTTCTTGTACTGCTGCACTGTCACGTGACTTGGTCCTAAGCCATCGGGTTCCCCAAAGGAGCAGGGAAAGGGGGCAGCCTGTGGCTGCTCCCTTGGGAGAAGAAATAAATCCCTCTCAGAGAGTACATGGGTTGTCTCATTATGCTTGATCCAAGAAAAATCTTTTTATAATTATATTTAAGCTGTTAACATTCCTGATTTATAAAGTTTTTGAGCAACCCATAAAAATGAGAATTCCTATCTTCAACCCTGCCAGTTCCATTTTCTCACATTCTTCTTTCCCTTCTCTACATTCTTTCTCTGGCAGTTAGCTTCTTCTTGGACTAAAAAAAAGACATTTTTAAGAAGCATGAATAATATCAGAACAATCATTCCTAAAGTATGTCCCCTAGATAACCCTCAGAGTACCAAAAAAAATAGCATTAGAAACAAAGAATAGCATGTGAAAAATCACAAACTACAGGACCATTAAAAATACTTTGAACTAATTAGATTCACATTTAGAGGAGAATGTGTTCATCAGAACCCAAAAGCTCAATCCATTCAGATGATTCTGGAAAGCTATAATCTGAGATTCACATGCCTAAACTTTGCACATGGAATTGCTGATCCTCACAAAAAAGACAAATCACTGTGGCTTAGACCAACTTCCTGGATATCATGGCACCCTGAGTACCCTCAACTCATCCCAGAACAGGCATCTGATCACCTTATGTTTTATCTATTTTAGGACAAGGACATAATTATTACTTTATTTATCACTGAAGCTATAGCACATTTTACAAGGTCCCACAGCTTTACTCCTCAAAACCTTCTCTAACAAGGTTGCCTGAAAACCTGGACTTAGTCTTATTTTATTCCACTGCCACCCAGAAACAGTCATAAAAATCTACTTTGCTCAGTGACCAATATCTAAACATCTACTGTGTACCACAAAGTGAACTATCTACCACACAGAAACAAAAGCATCATTAGCTCACTGTTTAAGCAATTGGAAAACCGACAAATCTTGAATTTCAAGTCACTGTCTATGAAGAAGAGCCCAGTAGGGCCCAGCACTGACCTGCTGCACGTCTTGCTGGAAAACACAGAGTTGCAGCCTCTGATGAAGTCGGACCTTGCGATGTTGCCAGATGTTCTCCAGTTGCCGCTGGTGGTGCAGCACCTCATGAATAACATCCAGGACATGGTGTACAGCCTTGGAGTAGTTGGCAGAGGCTGTTAGGGAGTCAGAGCTGCCAGGGGTTAAGGGCCGCTGCAGCTTGTCAAGGAGTGACTTCCCATCTTGGCTTACCTGCCAGCAATGTGAACGAGCATTATTCAAGATGTATAACTTTAATCAGCATGGGCTGCAGAAGCTACCCTTGGGTGTGCATGTGTATGCACTGTGTACACACACACACACACACGATGTTTACTCAAATGCATATTTTATGTAAATTTAAATCAACCCATCAGTTACCTATAAAATCAAATGTAAAAAATATCAAGCTAAGAGATATTCATTATCATTTAACATACTAATAGGTAGTATTCTTAATAAACAGTTTGCCTTTAATAATATGAATCAACAAATCTAAATTCCATTTTTGGGTACTTGAATTAAATTTCAAGAGCAAGAGTTTTCCCTCATGATACTATGATAAAATACAATGGAGTAAATCATCACAATGGAGTCAAGTTATAGTGCTAAATCTTAAAAAACTGGCTAAAAAACAACCTAGTACTGCCAGGCACCAGTGGCTCACACCTGTAATCCTAGCTACTCAGGAGTCTGAGATCTGAGGTAAAGCCAGCCCGAGGAAGGAATGTCCATGAGACTCTTATCTCCAATTAACCACCAGAAAACTGGAACTGGCACTTTGGCTCAAATGGTAGAGCACTTGCCTTGAGCTGAAGAGGTCAGGGATGGTGCCCAGGCCCAGAGGTCAAGCTTCACAATCGACACAAAAAAAAAGAAAAAAAGAAAAAAAACCCTAGCATAAGGAAAGAAAATATGATCGAACTTTCTGACATATGTAAACAACAGTTTTACTTGACAAAATAAAAAAACTAACAATGCCATTATTTAGTACTTTTTAAAAAAAAAGGAATTCTGAGGGATTAAAAGAGGGATTTCAGTGTTATATTAGAGCATCAAATTATCAAACTAAATTTAAAGCATTAAATTAGCTACATAAATAAGAAAAGGTGAGGAACAAGGAAAGACCTGTATTTTCATACTTATAAGTGATTATTAAGACTGATGAGTAATTATATCAGAAGCAGTGGAGAATATGCTACAGTGAGAAAGCACAAAGGATGCATGGCACATGCGTCACGGGCTATATGCAACAGGACAGCTCAAGAAGAAATCACCGGGGCCTTTCTACTCACACAGCCGGGAACCTGGAAACCCCTGAGACTTCTAGGTAAAGGGAACAATAGTTCAGATTTCCTTTGTGAACAAAGGGAACAGGAAAACAATATCATTTATCTGGAGCTTCCAAAACCCAATGTCTGCCATAGAGAAGATGTCTGATGCTTTCTAACCTTTCTTAATTAACCTCAAAGAAGTATAGTTGTATAGGAATGTAACAAGTTAATGTTTTAAAAGGTTTATTGTAAAGGTGATTAATGGAGTAGGGGAGGGTTACAGTTACATAAGTAAGGGAATGAGTACATTACTTTTTAAAGGCTGTGATCCCCCCTTCCCTCTTTTTTTCCTGCTTACCAATCCCCACTCCCTTCCCCACCAAGCTGTAAAGTTCTTAATTTTTTTAGGAACTGTACTTGAGACATTTGGTGGAAGTGCTGACTGCTACTTATAAAGACTTCATAGCTCAAATTTTATCTATTACAACCTTTTAGCATAAGTTAAAAAAAAAAGTCCAGCTAATACAACAGGGTAAGAATGAAAAACCATCTTAAACCAACTAAACCAAAATGTGTTAAAACAAAAGCAGGAAATGTATGCCTACTAGAGTGGGAGACCTCTCTGTCTGGGCACTGCCTGGCAAAGACTGTGAGGAAGGGAGGGACACTGAGGGATTTGGAGACAAGGGGTTTACTGAGATGGCTTCAGCAAGGCCCTGCTTGTCTTTAAGACTGCACATTTTAAAATACCATATCACTGAAGTGACACCATTCTCAGCATTTCCATTCCCAATATAACATGTCTAGTCAATACCTGTAGTTGCTCTATTCACAACAATTTTGTATATAAGATCAGTATTAATATCAAATATTTATCTTGTAGTTTAGATAGACCTAAGTGCTTATAGACCGAAATATACTTCTAACACAAATCACCCTCTTTTGTCTCTAACTTATACCATAGTACTTATACAATTTACTCATATACACTTAAACGTCATATGTGAGTTGGGTGCTGGTGGCTCACACCTGTAATCCTCAGGAGGCTGAGATCTGAGTATCGCAGTTTAAAGCCAGCACAAGCAGGGAAGTCTATGACACTCTTCAGTAACCACCAGAAAACTGGAAGTGGCACTGTGGCTCAAGTGGTAGAGTACTCGCCTTGAGCTGAAGAGCTGAGAGACAGCACCCAGGCCCAGAGTTCAAGCCCCACAACAAGAAAGAAAGAAAAGAAAGAAAGGAAGGAAGGAAGGAAGGAAGGAAGGAAGATTCTAATAACGATATAGAATAAGCAGAAAAAAATTAATGGAAGAAGAGATTGTTACATTATAGTAACCAAAATATTCATATATGCTTTCAGTAGTTAAAACAAAGTATTGAGTTTACAGTATACAGTGTAGTTCTACCAGATAAATAAACTTACTCTGCTGCACATAGTGGTTAAACTTTATCTAGTTTCTAGGAACAACACAGCCCCAAAAGGGAAAACAGCTACAAAAAGAAAAGTAGCCTTCATTAATCAATGGTATGTGTTTCTAGAATTTTTTAAAAGACCAAATTAGCTCATTTTTAGTCTACTCTTTGTTCTTCTTGGAATATAGAGTTCATAGTCCTGATAATCAAGATCATATTTTACATTGAGATGCTCGTAGTTCATGCATATCATTAGCTACTCAGGAGACTGAGATATGAGACTCAACATGTGAAGCCAGTTTGGGCAGACAAGTCTGTGAGGCTCTATCTCCAGCAAAATGTAAGAAATGGAGGCCTGGCTCAAGTGGAACAGTGTTAGCTTGAACAAAAAAAGCTTAAGTGAGGGCCTGAGACCCCGACTTTGAGCCCAATACCAGCACCAAAAAAACAAATAAGCATTACATTTTACAAAAAATAGGAATGGGCAGGGAAAGTACAAGATGAGCCTTGAGCATTTTGTTATGCCATAAAGTAAAAAGGGTATTAAAAGGTGAAATGAACAACTCAATAGGACCAAGAAAGGGGCTCTCAATAGCCAAATTTGGAGAATGTAGGCATCAAAAGATTATCAGATTATAATCCACTGAATGTAATAAGATTTTATAAGGAAAGAAGGGAGTATGAAGGTTTGTTCTTCCAGGCAGAAACTCTAAAACTCTAAATACCGCAGGAATGATGGAAATGGGTGGCTACCATGACCAGGAGGCAACATGGGATGAAATCTTCAGTGGATGCTATGGCTTTGGAAAAAAATCTGAAAATGAACAGAGGCTCAAACTTCCCCCTCCCCCCCAGTCATGAGGCTTGAACTCAGGGCATGGGCACTGTCCCTGAGCAGTTTTTGCTCAAGGGTAGCACTCTCCCAGGTGAGCCACAGCTCCACTTCTGGTTTTTTAGTGGTTAACTGGAGTTAAGAATCTCATGGACTTTCCTGCTGAGGCTGGCTTTGATTTGAGGTTCTCAGATCTCAGCCTCCTTAGCAGCAAGGATTACAGGTATGAACTACTAGCTCCCACCTGAGATATTTTGTTAAATTTAACTGTGTACATGAGGAACCTTGCAGGCACTAATCAGAGTAGCAACCAAGGTTAACATTCCCAGAATGAGACAGGTCAAGAGGCTGAACTAGCCAAAGGTGGTAGCCTCAGCAGTCTATAAGGACTGAGTTAGGGTAGGAATAAAGGCCTACACTCTTTAAACCATCATGGCAGGAAAAGAATTAAGACTGTCCCAATTGAATAGAAATTGATAAGATCTGTCAGTGAAATCCAGTGTTGGAAGGCATTCCAGACCCAAAAAGCAAAGAAAGAAAGAAAGAAAAAAAAGAAAGAAAGAAAGAAAGAAAGGAAGGAAGGAAGGAAGGAAGGAAGGAAGGAAGGAAGGGACATTTATTAGAATAGTTGGGGGAATACTAATGGGGAGGGGTGCACTGTAGAGAGGATGTTCATATGGAGGTAGAGATAGAAAGGAGAGAGATTGAAACAAATGTGGTATACACTAAAATCTGGAAATTCTGGGAGTTCTCAATACCAATCTACCATTTCTCTGTAGGCCCGAATCTGTTTCAAATGTTAAATAGTTTACAAGGTAAAACAACTCATTATTCCTCTGAAAAATCTTTTCAGTTGACCCAGTTCAAACTACTGTCTCTGAACTTTTAACTCTATTATCTTTTGACTCTATTATAAACATGTTCTTAGGCTTAAAAAAAAAACTCAGTTTAAGACCTTAACTTAAAGGTTCTTCCTACCAAATAACTCTGAATTATTATCTTAAAATTTAAACAGAATAAAATATTCCATAGGTAAATATAAATTCCCACAGCAAGATGTTCCAATTTTATACAACATAATATAGTGGTGACCACTAAAATTCTGTACTTAGCTAAAAGTTCTGATAACACTGCACTGGCCAGTTCAGCTGGAAGGAGACACTGGTGATACAGGTGTGTATCTTGCATTTTCTCAGTCGGTCATATACACAGAGAGTGTAACAAGCTCCTTAAAGCTAGTCATCTGTGAGTGAAAGCCATGAAATCTCATCTTGGGCTGGCAGGGGTATGCAGATGGCTGGCTATAAAGCTACCACTTCAATCAAAGTACAGCTCCAGAGAAAAAGATTCACATAAGTAGATGAGGAAAGGCTTCATTACATGGGCACATAATTAGTCATTCACGTTCTGTATTATAGATTGGAATTAGCTGTTGCAAAGATGGGACACTAGGGAAAAGGACTTAATGGTTTTTTAGAACTTGCATAATCCTCATGAATCAATGTGATAAAACATCAGAAATCTGTTCAATTTTCAATTATACTATAAAAGACTGTCCTTTATATAAACAGTTCTTAATAAACTAGTCCACTAAATTAACTAAGAACACTGCATTTAGAATTCAGAAACAATACAAAGTTAATTGTTTTTTTAATTCCATGGGAAACATTAAATAGTGCTAAAGTAAGGGTGGG